GGTGTTTGAGAGGCTGCGGGCTGCGGATTTGGATCGCGGAGGAGTTGTTGATGCTCCTGAAGGGTCTGCAAAGGAGGCTGGGGAATCCAATACTTGCAGCTCTGCTTCCACTTCTTCGTCCTCCTCGATCGGGAGGAATAGTGATCAGTCCGGGAGATCGTCGGACGGTGAAGATAGCGGCGAGAATGATGAGGTTCAGAGCTCCTATAAAGGGCCGCTGGATATGATGGACTCTCTCGAGGAGGTTTTGCCTGTCAGGTTGGAATTTCTCGAACCTTCTTGAATACTTCATTTTCTCCCCTTCATTTTCTTAGGTTTGATGTATGATCTGAAACGAGTGTGTTAACTAAATTCAAACAGTTGGTGAGACTGGATAATTTAGAGCTTTTGTAGTACAATGCATTCGGGATAGTTAATTTGCCCACCTGAATGATGGAGTCGTTTGATCTATGCTTGATCAAGTATTTTTGCTTCATTTTGGACTCATTATTAGGGAATTATGTTTACTTGCTGGCGGTGACTAGTATTTATTGCTGACAAACGGATGAAATATTTAAATTCAACTCTCGAAAGTGGTCACTATTGAGGGCATAATTAAGTCTAGGCCTGTAGAAATATGTCTTCTTCTACAATGTAGATGAATGCAGTATAAATTTCGAAATAACTGTATGTTTTCCGAGGATTAGTAATGAGAAGAAAGAGCATTCCAAAACTGGAGATTGGCAGATGGCATCATTTCTTTAATACTCTTTAACCACGTGTTTGTCGCGAGGTTGATTATCGTCTTTTTGGCTATTCTCTGAATTGGAGATTGTGTTTCTGAGATTGTCTTAAGCTCAAATCAGAAGTAAAGCATTTCTTCGCAATGTGTTCTAAACAATCTGTTTAAGGGATTGAGTACTTATTGTAATTAAGTAAATCATGCAATATAATTATTCACCAGAACACACACAGACATTCTATTTGTTCCTTAATCTAACAAATAATATTACTACATGCAGAAAAAGTATCTCAAAGTTCTACAGTGGAAAATCAAAGTCTTTCACGAGTCTAGCCGATGCCTCCTCTGTTTCCTGCATCAAAGACATTGCAAAGCCAGAGAATGCCTATTCCAAGAAACGTAGGAATCTTTTGGCGCACAATCTTGTGTGGGAGAAGAACCGGAGTTTCTGTTTCCCCCTAAAAAATAACGGTGGTGGGATATCAAAGAGACCCATCAGCTCAAGCAGAAGCTCCTTGGCTCTAGCTGTCGCCATGAGCAGCTCCGAAAGTAATAGCAGCGAGGATTCCAATTCCAGCTCATATTCAAGCTCTCCACCGCCTCGCCCACCTCTGCCACCACAATCCAGAGCTTCTAACAGCAACTTGGCTTCCATGGTGCCACCTCAAAGATCTTTCTCCACTTGGCGTTCATATTCCTTGGCCGATTTACAAGAGTGTACCACTTCTGCCAATAAGGCCAACCTAACAAATCTAAACTGACCCAGAAAATTTCCTTCTCTTGCCATAGGTACGCAAGAGGCTTTTAACTACTTTAGGGACTCTTGAGATATGTAGGAGGTTTTTCTAGTATGATTTTAGGTCTTATGGTCGTTACTGTGTACTATCTATATATCAAAAACCAAAACTTTCATGTCTCGTTGTTTATATTGAAAATGGGGATATGAAATAGAGGAAAGCTGAGGTAGCACTTTAGCAGACTGTTTGAGTGGGCATTTGTCAACACATATCTGTACTCTAGCCTTAGGACAACCGCACCCAACTTCTCACCTACGCATAAACAGCTACCCTGAACTTCAGTTTGACAAATGAACCACAAACTTTCAGATTCCTTTGGCTTTTGGTTCACCAACATTGGCGATCTGGTTGCTTGAGAAACTTCGAAGAGGCCAACTACAAAGAATAGTGTGACCTTCCTCAGTCCATGTAATTGACTTCAAAACTTTGGTTCATATGTTAAACTGCCCCTATAGTCTTAACGTTGGTTTCCTAAACACTCTTTTTAAGGGGCTCCCAGTAACATTTAAGGACATCTGCAGACACATGTAGTTCACAGGATCTGGGTCCCCCATATTGATATTTTCCCGTGAGCTTCATTTATGGTTGGATTTAACTACGGCTTCTTTCTTCTAGACCTTGAGAATGTAATCATGCACAATGTTGCAATTTTCTGGTTGCTCAAGCATTTTGTAAGCATTCCCAATGATGAGTTTCTTTTATTGGATTGCCGCCTGGTGTAAGATGAATTTTTCTCTTGTTGGATAGATTATGGTGTTTTTCATTTTAATTTCAATCAGGAGATGATGGAATTCATGCCGTTGCTTTAGCCAAATAGGTTTGCCAAGAAACTTAGTATAGGTATATATGGTATTTCATCCAGGAAAAGTCAGTCAAATAACTCGTTCTACCTGACAACCTATTTCGAATCTATTTAGCTTTTACCATGCTTTGCCCGTCTTGAAGAAGATAACATATATTGTATCTACTAAACTATGTTCGGATTGACAACAAATTGACATTCAAGTTCTAAAAATTCATTCCTTTACAAGTTAAACACAATTTTATACACATCAAAGATTTATCTTTTTGTGATCCTCACTCTACCGACACTGCCCTTTTACAAGTGTCTAAGATAAACTTGAAGATATAGGGTACACAAACCAAACCAGTGGCCAAAATTAAACTGTTGGCATGGCTGATTATTACCCCTGAAATCATTGCCCAGTTTAAAGTTAATGACAAACCGTACACTAAACAGAGGAACATCAAGACCCAGACCAAGTGAATTATTGCTGCCTTGCTGTTAACACTTTAAAGTGCCATCATCCTCTCTCACTCATCAATTACTAGCATGAACATTAAAGCTCTTAAACACAGGCATTCAAACACCAAGGCCCCACCCCCAAAATCACTCCCTTAATTGGAACACTACTTTCTTTCCTTCCAAAAATCATTTTTCTACATTTAATTCTACCAAGACATGAAAGTCCATGCTTTGCTTCCCTACTTTTATAGCTTACAAAGTTACAAGGGGGTTGGGTTGTTAAAACTCTTTTTTACAAGAATTCCAAGTCTACCCGCCAAGCCAAACTATTCTTGGAAGGCATTTTTTGGCACAGCTGTAGAGGTTTGCCTAGCTTGTTACTCACTGTTCTGTGATATAACCTCTCCGAACTTGAGGAAGAGCTGGGCGTCAGACGTGCTCATGGATGGGCAGTTCAGCACGTGCGGTGTTTCTAGATTTGCGTACTCATCCTTGTAGCATGGGACTTTTGCAGATGGGGCCATGGATGTTATGGTTGGTGGTTTTGGGGGTTCGGTGGAGGGAAGAAGACTCCCGAGGACGCGCGTTACTTCATGCATTGTTGGTCGGTCCGATGGCTGTCTCTTGGTGCATAGGAGAGCAAGCTGAAATATCTTCTTTACAGCTCCTAGGTCCTTGCAAGTTGCAGTTATTTCTGGATCAACTGTCTCCATTACAGCATTGTTGGCTGTCTTTGATAAGATCTGAGATGTATGAAAGAATTAGTTAAAGGAAGTGGGTCATTATATGTAACAGGAAAAAAGAAGAAACAACCGAGAATCATAGGAGAAATCGAAACGATCTGAACACATGTTACAACTCGGGGAATAATAATAGTTTACCAAACTAATGCACTGAATAATCATGGCATCTAAAAGGACTGCAGATGTAAATCACACTATAAATTTGTACTGACCAATTGGTGGAGATTTGATTCATTGTCCACAGCTTTCCTTCCTGTAAGCAACTCAAGTAACACAACGCCAAAGCTGTAAACATCAGACTTCTCGGTTAGTCGAGAAGTCCGAGCATACTCTGGATCGATGTATCCGATCGTGCCCATGATATAAGTTGATGTATATGTCTTTGAGGTACATAAACTCTTGGCGATGCCAAAATCAGTGAGATGGGCGTCAAAATCCTTGTCCAATAGAATGTTTGATGACTTGACATCCCTGTGGATAATGCGAGGGCTACAATCATGGTGTAGATATGATAGTCCTTGTGCTGCTCCAAGTGCGATATTAAGCCGAGTGTCCCAGTCGAGCTTTTTCTTCTTGATAGAGCTAGAGCCTGTAGATATCTAAATTAGTAACAAATCCGGTTTCGTTGCTCATTGGCATTTTACTTCAATTGTTAAGCAGCCAGGAATTACACACGTTGCCCGACTCGCCAATATCTTACCATGTAGATGATCCCAAAGGCTGCCATTTTCCATGTAATCATAGAAGAGGAGATTCCCAGTGGGGGACAAGGAGTATCCTTGGAGGCTGACTAGATTCCTGTGCTTGATGCTCCCCACAGTTTCGAGTTCGGTCTCGAACTCCTTCATGCTTTGGGGCTGGTGAGAATAGAGCTTCTTGATAGCCACGGGTTTGCAATTCTTCAGTACACATTTGTAGACCGTGCTTGAAGCTCCATATCCGATTATGTACTTTTCACTCAAATTCTCAGTCATCCTCATAATGTCCTCATATACATGAAGCGCCATGTTCATGTGAAGGATCACTAGCTTGGGAGTTGAGTAAGTAACTGATGTTTCAAAGGCAGCCAACAGAAGGTTTAGACTTTTAGCATTCCATTATTGAATTGAATTACATATAAAGTTCACATTTCAAAGATTGATAAACTCTAAGTACCTGGTTTATCAAGTGATCCATCTGGAAAAGGTATCGTATTATTCGGACGGCATACTGTTAGAAGGATCATTAGAAGAATCACGAGTGCACCAAGAGCAATCCCCAGGATAGCAGCTTTAGATATTGTCACTACACGAAAAACAATTAAGAGGAATTAGATTATACGACACATTTCGTTACTGGATCCCTCTCATTAGTCATTACAGATACAGCCTTCAAACCCATTCGGAAAGAGTAATTACCTCGCTCTGTCGTACGAATTTCATGACAGGGATAGTTGTTGTTATTCCAGTATCCACAGAGGGCAAGATTTCCAAGGAAACTGAAGGCAAACTAACATTAGAAGCATGTAAAATCTATGAATTGTTAAAAAAAAGTTGTTCAGGTTCAACTAAAATAATAGGTGAATTCTATCCAAAAGAGGGTCACCTGTCAGATGAAAACCTTGAGAAGTTGTTGCTTGTGGGAATGTCACCAGCTAGATTGTTGTAAGATACATTTCTGCAAGAACCAGAAGATTGACTATGTCACAGAACTATATCGTCGAGATTGTGCTCACTTCCTTGGAGGATGATGAACTTACAATTCGGTGAGACTTGGGCAGTTAATCAGCGATGTCACGTCTCCAGATAAATTGTTGTTTTGAAGTCTCCTGCATCATTTTCATCATTATACCATGAAGGAGACAGTAAAATATACTTTGAACAGACAGAACTGAGTCTAATGTCAGCAGAACAACGTCAAAGAAAAGGGGAAAATATATCACTTTGATGGCCATAAAGTCCTAACATAGTAAAATATTCTTCTGCCTTTACCATTCTTGTCACATATATCATTACACTGGATGTCACAGTATATACGGTTCTCTCCTTGTCTCGTCTCGTTATCAGATATAGAATGGAACACATGAAGCATTATTGTCCATTACGGTTGTTGTATTCTACCAGACAAGACATAGCTAAGCCACTTGAGAGAAGGCTATCTTATGGTAAGAACAAAGAATTATTAGTGAAAACTTCCACCATAATTCTCAACTTCAAGACTTACAAGGAGAGCAGATTTTGAAGTTGACTCAGTTCTTGAGGAATGAAGCCAGAGAGCTGATTGTGTGAAATATCTCTACAGTACAGCAACATGAAGATAATAGAATTAGTATTGAAAACTTTAGGTAACTGCATTAAGAGAACACAGAATCAGTGACATGAACTAATTACATTTCCATTACACTCCTCAGATTTCCAAATTCTGCTGGAATGAATCCTGTTAAACGATTTCTGCTCAAATTTCTACAGACATTAAAAAACGAATGTCAGTGATTCCAGCCCATAGACGAGAGATCGAGGATAAGCAATGTTAGTTACAGATAATACATACAGCTTTAGGAGATGCTCCAGGTCACCAAAGGATGAAGAAATTGTGCCACTAACTTTGTTGTTTGAAATGTCCCTGTGCAGCAACTACGAATTAGTATGAGAAATATAGCGTAGATAGGATGGGCAAAAACTATATCTAATATACTTACAGCGTGTCCAAATTACCAATCCGAGACAGCTCAACTGGGATAGGACCGCGTAGATCATTCGAGGAGAGATTTCTGAGATTGAAAAATATGATGAGAAGCAAAACAATTTTAGTTTACTTTTGAGAGATAACAGCCAAACAGCTCAACTTACAAGTAAGTCATACTCTCTAGCCTCTGGAAAGACGGCGGAATAGTTCCATTCAACTTGTTGCCATGGACATTTCTGATCCAACAAATATTAACTATGATAATGAATGGTAAAAATTTCTGAAGGATTCAAAAGAGTTCTGATTAGATTCTTACAGGCTGTTCAGATTTGTGCATGAGCTGAGATTATCAGGAATAGGCCCTTCGAGATTGTTATTAGCAACATTTCTGCAAGGATGTCCAATAAGTAACAGCATTAGGATATACAAATAAATCAGTTATGAAAAAGCTTACAGATCGAATAAATCAGTGAGTTTCCCGAGCTCAGCTGGAATATTCCCAGTAAGATGATTATCATTCAGTTCCCTGAAAAGGAAAAGTTCAACATGAATGATAACCAATACTGTAGCTGAAGTCTCAAATACATGAACTAAAAGCTGGGATTTGCGGATTTAAACATAGCAAGTCAGAAGCTTAGGATTGAATTTTTAATCAAGGTAACTTGAATGCACATGGAGATTGAAAAGGGTTGTTAAGAAATTATATAACGTGCCCACGTCTCTTGTCAAAGAAAGGAAGAGTGAAATTTTACAGATAATGTAGCTTTGTCATATTCCCGAGCTCAGCTGGAATGGACCCAGTGAGCTTGTTACCATGCAAGTACCTGTTGCCATCAGGGATACCAGAATTAGGCACAAGATCTTATACTATGTGTACATTACTACAAATGTGGAAGTTGCAGTACATTCTTAGATGTAGAAACAGAAGAGAGAGCGAGAGCAGTAAAAATATTCTTACAGTTTCTCAGTATAAGTCAAATTCCCTAAGATAGAGGGGATTGGTCCAGTCAACATGTTGCAGCTCAAATCTCTGATTGGGATATGAGAGGGAGAAGTTAGAAATAAGGCCATAATTTAAAAAGATAGCAAGAATCATATGATAAAGATCTTTCTTTTAAGAAAGATTTGTCCATAAACTTGGTTGTGAGACGGCTAAAGTTGCTTACAGCACAGCAAGCGCCTGCATCAGACCTATTACTGGTGGGATGGGACCTGATAGCTGATTCCCCTGCAAGGACCTGGAAAGGACAGTCATGGAAACCCACATAAAGCATGGCTTTGGATATTGTATTAAAATGCAAAATAACTTCGACGGCAAATCGGACACATACAGTGTGGCTACTTGAAGGAAACCGATATTGAACGGTATCTCTCCAGTTAGATGGTTGTACGACAGGTCCCTGCCAATCGATTATAAAGAAGATTTAGCTAGTTATACACATAGGACTGTGAACATAGTATTCAATGAGAAGGATATAATACATACAAGACCTGGAAGGCAGTGCAGTTGCCTACGGTTTGAGGTATGCTTCCAGTTAAACTGTTGTTTCTCACGTCACTTCAAATGGGAAAGAAACTTGTTAGACCAACAACAAGTTCGAATGGACGAAAGGGAAGAAATACTTAAGTCTTTCGGTAGAAGTGAAGATGACTTACAAATACCATAAACCAGTGAGTTGACACATATCTGGAGAGAGTGTACCAATCAAATTGTTACCGCGCAAACCGCTGAGAGAGATTAGAATAACAAATGGAAGTATTTAGAATCAACAGTAACTGGCTGATGTCTGAAAGAAATAAGATCTACGGAATACTCACAGATATTGCAACACTTCATTCCAGTAAATAAGTCTTGGTATTTCGCCATTAAGATTATTCTGTGCCAGATCTCTAGAACCAAGGTTGCAAGATGGACATTCTTCAATTGTTAGTTCTTTAGAAAAAGAACTTCGAAAGCAATGAGAAAAAGATGGCATGGGAAACTTACAAGACCTTCAAATTTGGAATCTGAGATAAAGTTGACGGGATCGGTCCAATCAGTTGATTATTTTTTAGAACTCTGAAAGTGTTGAGACGTAATAAGATGAAGATAGTACGTTACATAGTTGACAAAAAGTTAATACTTGTGTTCAAACTTACAGCATTTCCAGTTGCTTCAACTTTGAAATGGAAAATGGTATGTCTCCATAGATCTCATTAAACGATAAATCCCTACAGAATAACATTCCATCAGTGTGCTGAAGTGAAAGATATCGAATATTTGTAAGCTGAACAGGACTTACAGATTTATTAACGAAGAGCAGTCACCAATCTCGTCTGGCATTTGCCCAGAAAGACTATTTCCCCTCAAATCCCTGATCAAGAAGAATCCCAATATGGGATCATGATGAACAAACTAAGTCACTTTGAGGAACTTGCTTTTGCTAGGAAATATACAGAAAATGGAATGGAAGTTTTAAAGCAGTATTAGAAGAAGGCTTAGAAAGTGGGAACAAGTGTAAAGAGGAGAGGAGTACAAAGTTTGCAGGCCCTTGAGGTTTCCAACCGAAGGAGAAATTTCCCCGTCCAGATTAAGACCAGAAAGATTACTGAAAAGAAAAACTGAGATGAACAAGCTAGAACAAACTTAACAATGGATTTCGATACTAACCACAGAACTCTCAGGAATAAAAAGAGTCGCTTACAGAGAAATAACATTTAGAGTGGCATTGTCACAAGTGACACCTCTCCATATACAGTAGTCTGAAGAGGGTGAGCTTGTCCAATCATATAGAACATTATCCACATCCCTGAATGATTTCTTTATCTCCAACAATGTTGCTCCTACAGAATATGAAAACATGTAACCAAAGATCTTAAGTTTCCATGGCCATCAGAGACAGAGGATAATCTGAACATTAGAGCACTGGAGAAAGTCCCAGTTAGTTTTCAGAGATTAAAAGAAAAAGGGAAAAAGAAAGATCCTCGGAAACTGTTAAGATAGCATTAAAAAAAGAACAAGCCGCCGTGAAACATTAAAAGGGTGCTCAAATAGTGCTTCAAAAAATCCTAAACGTCCGCTAAACTCTGCCTTTATTCTGTAACCGAGAAGTTGAAGACCCAATGGTGTTCTGAAGTTTTAAGTTCTGAATGACCAGAAGGAGACTTACCATCATCCGAGTCCACCAAACCAACGGTTGGATAGAAGAGAAATACCAGAACAACCAGCTCAACAGGAAATGCCATGGCTGCCATCTTCACAGACCTCATTTCACACCACTGCTGCACTTTCCATGGCTTAGTTACGAACACCAGAATTAAAAGAGAACCCTCTTCTTGTCTCAGGCTCAATAACTTGAAAATGCAGAGAGCAGTAAGGGGAGAGACATTGTTGAGTTTATGAGGGAAAATATTTGAATTTACCCTTTTGAGTATTTGGATTCTTTCTGTGAAACCGAAGGCCTTGCCTTGCCTTTGGCCG